CTGGGGTGTGAAAAGGCAGTATATTACATCAATATATGATGGAAATTAATTCTTTTTTGCCTTTCTGCTTGATGTGTTTTTACTCTACTTCTTTACCTGAAGAAACTACAGAATTTTGTTTTAGTAAGTTGCTCCATCACTTACACAGATTATCCTGAGTTTCCATCCCTCACACATTTTTTTTTTAAATTAAATTCAAATATATTTATGAATTAAAAAACAAGCAACTTGTTGTCTTAACACCTATTGAATATATTTATATGATGGCTAGAGGGAAATACTGAATATTGAATACATTTTATAGTTACACAATCGACTTCTAATTCAAGGCATAAACCTACTTGGGTTTGTAAGTAGTATAAAACATAGAGAGAAAGCCAAGAGAACATCAGTGGCAATAAAACCAGGAACTCCGAAATAATTTGCAAACTCCTCAACTGTGAAATTCAGAGGGAAGCCCTCCTACAGCTGTTGAAAAGGACACAGCTCAGCCTTCTTCTGGAAAGCCTGGCATATTTTAGGAGTTAACTGCATGGGAAGCATGAAGAAGGGGTGCAGCAGGGTTGTGAGCTGAGGGATGGAGCATGTGTATAGGAGAGGGAGCACTTTCCCTGTGGCACTTTTCCCACATAGGCTTTCGTCTTGGATCCCAGTGTATCCTCATATTTTTATACGTCTTTGTTTGCTACTTTTTTTCCCTTCCTCATTTTATGCCTTAAAAACTCAGTAATTTGTGGTTTCTGATGCCTTTTCCCAGTGGCTGAGTATACACTTCATTCACTTAATCTTATCGTTTAATATGGGAACCTGTTTGAGAGTAAAGTTTTCAGACGATTAATGAAGAGTGACTCAGAAGTGGTTGGGAAGGTGTGTGCTGGTTGGTCTAAGCAGCTCAAACATGCCTGGAAAAACCTGTTTGAAGGAGGAAATAGATATGCATATACTTTAGACTTTTACTTACAAACCAAGAGAAATTTCACATGAAAAGTAAGGCAATTACTGGAAAACAAAGTTAGATTTATGTCTCCTAAAATGGTTGCTTGGTCTCACAAAATCATAAAGGCTTGCTCAGAGTACTAACTGTGGGCAAGGGGAGAAACCATTTAGGAGAAGCCTGGCTTCTCAGTCTGCCACACTGCAGTGCTCTACTTCATGGATTAGGCGAGGTGGCACTCACAGTGCAGGTAGGCTAGAATCAGAGCAGTGCATTTGGATTGTCATGAATCCAGTGTCATTAGCTGCACAGTGTCTTCTCACACTGACGGATATGCTCCCAGCTGCTACGTAAAGGCAGCCTGTATTGAATGAAAGCAAGCCTCTGCTGATGTTGCTATAGAAGGCAACTTCTTGTGTTATTTGTAAGACTGCTCTGATCACATGTGTGACCTAGCGGCTCTTTTTCCAAGTCGTACTGTATCCAGACTATAAAAACCACAGCCTTGGTGAGGTGAGAGAGCAGCAGGAGAGCAGTTTTCTAGAAGCTCTCAAGTATTCTGCAACACAAAACTTTCCTCATGTCCTGGAAGGGAAAGTTTCCGGGTGGGCAGCTGCCTGAGCCAATCCCTCAGCACAGTCTCTTAGGAACATGCTGCTCAGCATTTGTTGTTTTTGCTTCCTGCCTTTGGAAGCCATCCAGAAATGACGTGTACTAGTGCAACACTATCTGGTGATCGTCCCCACCAATCAGTTTATGCACTGTAGATTATCTAAGCCATATTATCCAATGTGTGTCCCGAATGAGTAATCAAAAAATGTTTGTACTAAGCTCTGTGATGCTTCAGAGGTGGTTCCCCCGAGGCCATTTTACTTTGCATGTCTGAAATGACAGCACTTAAAAAAAAAGCAAGGAAAAAAATGACAGCGTACAAGGAACCACATCCACTTACATGCAGCCAAACAGAGCTTGAAGATAGCTACATGGTTTTATATTTTGAGTTAGGAAGCAGGTTTAAATAACTTTTTTTTTTTTTTTTTTTTGAATGGTGTGGGATTTGCTCAGTAGCCGTGGTTGTGCATAATGCCATTGCACACTACTGGCACCATTATGAGCAGGACTTATGAAGTCGTGTGGCACAAGGGTGCTTTGTAGTGACTGTGCATTATACAGACAGATGATATAAGGGCTGGACATACAACTGTGAATTTTAGATAAAAGCTCTCTTCTTGGTACCAACAAACAACTGGATTTTCAAGAGAAATCAGAAATTAGAGCCTGCCCTTGAGCATCGTCATCGTGTGAATTTGCAGACCATGCAAGTTCTAAATACTTTAAGTCACTTCTAGATACAAGAAGACTAGTGCCTTATGTCAGTTATATTTATGGTAAAATGCATGTATGACTTAGTATTGGAAAAATAGAGGACAATGCAGTCTCCTGCATCTGTGTCACTTGGGTAACATCCATGTGTGTTCAACATGTGCTGTGGGCAGTGAAGTCCAATTGGACACAAACTCACAGCGCAGCACAATCAGTGCTCTGAAGGAAATGAACCTCAGGATTGATAAATTACAGCTGAAATATATGTGTTTGTGGTCTAGTTGTTGTCACCAATAAAGCTCAAATTCTGGACCACATAGGCCTTACTCAGAAACAGGACTGAGAATGCAAGTCCTCTGTAAGTAGAAAACAAATAACCATCCCAAATCCTTTCTGAAATTGAAGCATAACTTTGTCCAGTTCTTACTGAGCTGAGGTGATGTGTGCTACTATGTTTCATTGGTTTTACTTTGATTTACACTTTTTTATTATTATTTTAAAAATCTACTTAAAATTTACTATAAACTGTAAGTAGAATTAATGTAAGAGACCCAAACCCTCCCCACATCCCTCTGCAGGTAACATAACCACACCCCAGTGAACTTGGCTCACTTGCTTGCAGCAAGGCGTAGCATGGGAAGCACTCCTGCAGTGACAGAAGCTGTAACATAAACACAGGAAAGGAGGACCCTGCTAAGCAGTGGGTGACCTCCAGAAGCACTGCGTACTCTTCCCTCACAGCCTTGGCACATCCGCACAGGTTGATATTTTGGTTGGCAATGAAGATGAAAGGTGTGGACAAAGGGTAGGACTGACAGGCTTATAGAATGACATCCCTTTAATCCCCAGCAGCACACCTGGGAGCTGCATCTAACCTCCTCCACATGCATGTGAACACGCATGGGATTCTCTTAGAACATTTCTAAATGGTGACATTCTTGTAACAGCACAAGCTGCTTAAATTCTGCTTCTCCTTCTAATTGGGCAGCAGAAGATCCAAATCCTGTGTGTTTTCAGGGAAAAGGAAAGATGTGGACTTCCTGCATAATGAAGGCATCTGGCTTCTTTATGTCTCATTCCCTTGTTGTTGTTGTTTTTTTTATCTACAGAAATAAGTATGTAACTGGTAAAATTGTAGACAATATAGAAAACAGTGGATCTAACAATGTGCTTTTACTCTAAGTAATTAGTGTGCAAAACAAATAGCTACCAAAACACATTGATCTATCTGCATAAATATTTCCTGTAAAGCACAGCTTGCTTACGGTGATTATTTAATTAAGAAAGATCTCTCACATTGCTCTACTACACAACGTAACCAAGCTCTGAGAGTTGGGCTCGTGTGCAGGTGCCTGGTATCCTTAGCCCTCTGGGTTTTACCTATAAATAACCTTTCAGAAGCAAGAACTAACTCAGTTTTCAAACCACGTGCATTATTAGCTTAACGTGATACAGCTTCATATGTAGGCAAGATCTAAACAGCTGCATAACTTTAAGCACATTACGCCATTTTTAATGGTTGTTGAAATTCAAGTTGCATTGATTTTAGCAAACTGGCTGAAAAACAATGTCAGTTCAGTTTGTTCTCTTCCATTTTAAACCTGTCTACAGGAAGAGCTTGAATTTGTTCCCTGTATTGGCTGCAATTGATTGTGGTAAATGAAAGTAATGTAATAATCAACTTGCTAGGGAATGTTAGTAGAATATAAACATTTCTTTCCTGTTCTCTATTTTATGGCTGAGCAAAAAATTTCTCCTTTGTAGTTTCTTCCACTTTTTGATACCAATGAAAACAACTAAAAAGCACTTGCAGTGTGCTGGGGAATAATACCATTATATGATAATATGCTCTGCAACTAAGAACTATGCTATTCTAATTCTGTGGGGCTCTCCTTTTTGATGTTGTTTCACTCCATACTGTCTTCACTTAGAGAAAAAAAAACAAGTCGTTTCCTCTACAGCTCCCAGAGACTTTTCAAACTTCCAGAAGTTAGTTTCAGTACTTAAAAATGACTTACGCTTATACGTACTTGCAGCAAATGTCCCCCAAATACTTGTAGTGTGCCACTATTTCAGGGGGCATGTTTCATGGCTTTTGAATTTTTATGGGGGAAAAGGAAATAAGTATTGGATGAAAGTTTGAATGAAAACGAAAATTTGTTGAGAAATTTTATCTTTACTAAAATGGTCTCTGATCAAGCAGCAGTTATTTTATTTGGGAGAAAAAGTAGATAATGAAGCAAATAGAAAGTGAGCCTCTAAGTCTATAAACACCGCCTCTACAAAAATGGCATTTCACAAAAAAACACAATTGAGATTTTCCCATCACTGTAATTCAGTGCTTTTTTTCTGCTTGATATAAATTTCTATTCCAATTTATATTCCAATTCAAAAATTACTTCATGTTATAACAACAAAAAAAATGGTTTATTTCTTAGTGGAAGTCGTTCTCCAGCACTGATACCCAGTTTTGCAGGAACAACTTAATTACATGTTTTCACAACATTTAATGGCCTCTGGCTCTCCCATGAGCTGTGATTGCTGTATATCCTTTGAAAGAAATTGCAAGCCAACAAATTATACAAATATGTTTGATTGCTGTGAGGTTGTAGAAATCTCCTCCCCTAAATCAGAACAAAATGACATGCCAGAATGGAAGCAGTTCCGATAGCAGTGTTTAAAGGAGAGTCAAGTTCTGATTTTGGATGCATGTGAAGCTAACAAAAATGTTCTTCTTGTTCAGGTACTTCAAGAAATCTTCCAGACAGAAGATACAATCATGCTACTGGAGAGATCCATAATGGCAAAGGAGTACCCACTGAAAGTGGCTCAGACACGCCTGGAAGGAAGAACCAGGCGACCCAATATAGAACTATGCCGTGATGCACCTCAGTTTCAGTAAGTAGAGGCCAGACTTCCCCGTCCCTTCCTCAGTCAGCTACTCAAGAAATTTAACAAGAGTGTGAATTAATTCAACAGGATTAGAATTATATTCATTGTGTGACTGTAAATATGGAAGAAAGAACTAAAATCCAAGTAGCTATGCTGAAGTGCAGTTGAGTTTAGAGACCCCTTCCCAGAACAGTTTGGTGTTCAATGGGTTGGTTATGGCTGATACGCTTTGGAATTTGGTCTCACATTGAGTGGCACTTAGGAATTGTGTTCAATACCATTCAGGATGAAACAACAGGATTTACTTCAGGAAATACCTTACTTTAGAATTTTTTTTTTCCCCAAGAAACATTCTGTCTTGATGCAAAAATTATCTAATGGTCAGACCCCTTTAAACTTATTTGCCAATTAGAGAGAGGCTGTGTCTCTTTCTTCATGAGCTTGTTGTTTTCAATGCTTTTATGCAATATAGTGAGTCCAGAATCATTGTACAGATTAGCTCATCTGCTCATTGTAGTTGTGGGACCCTTCCAGCATGCTGGCATCAGCTTGCTGATCCCTGTGTTGTGGTTCATTGAACAACGTGTGTTATGTCCTTCTGGATACAAAAAACAGCATCTGAGACATTAGTCTTCCTTCCCTTATAAAGGAAGGTTCTGAATTTTAATCCCATTTTTCTCCCTCCCCAACAAGTCTTCAAAGTATTCTGTGGGAGTTTTCTCAAGGAATACTGTAGCTGGAGTGAATCTCACAGTCCAGTTAGATAATTTTTTCATATTTTATTGAAAGCAGGAAGCTGTATCTTCTTGACATTTGTCTGTATCAAAATCCTACCACATGCAACGCTATGACATTACTGAAGTACATTATGCTTAGTCTGAGGATTTATATTAGTTTTCCGAGTACTGTTTTGTCAGCTCAAAAAGCTTCTATTCAAACCATTTGGATAGTTTTGTCTTTTTATACCACACAAATCACACCTGTTCCAGATGCACTTCAGCTGTGAATAAATAAAAGCTTCTGATCTATGCACAGTAGCATTCACTTAGCACTTACCTTTACTCTGGGAGCAGATCAGTTGACACTTCAGTTACCTTTGTGCCATCAATTAAAAATACAAATAAGCAAGTATCAACAATTTATTTAAGAAAAGCCAATCACTACCAAGATGGCTTTAACTATTACTATACAACTTCAGTTATTACTCACTCAAAGTCTGTTCTCTTCTCACTTCCTCCCTGAAGATCTCCTCCACAAAATGTTTGCAGCATCATGATTGATATCAGTCAAGTCATCAGGACTGTGTGTATCCAAAATAAAAAACTTCTTTGAGTTAGGATCAAAAATGTGCTGAAGCAGAGGGTCATATTATTCCTTCTTCTTCCCATAATTGCCAATGATACTGTTGATGTTCCAAACGATTGTGTCTCAGAAAGTTTGAAAGCTTCATTTGAAATGATTGAATATTTTCTTCATCTATCGTGAAAAGATATAAATATGAAATTTATGTAGGGGGTCTGAATCAACTCAGTTCTTACCAGCTTACAGGTTATATAAGAACTTAACATGCAGTTACACATGTATTCAGAAGTACTTTAAGCTTAATGTACACATAATTTTTCCATCAGTCTGATACAATTTCCAATATTTCAACCTAAATATTTATGCAAGTACACTGTTTGCTAGACAGTTATATTGATAATTGCCGTATCTTATTCTCCTTGCTTTGATGAGTATTAATTTTGTTATGCCACAGCTCCCTAAGCCAGACCATGTTGTTTTGGATGCTTTAGCTGATCTAAATCTTTGAATGCTACATTCATCCTAACTGGGATTGGAGCTTGAAATTCTGACAGAGGGTATTTGAAATGTGAGCACTTTTTCTATCACAGTTTTTGGCTGAGCTTATACCTCAAATAAATTATATTTTTTCAAGAAACTCCAATCTGAGAATGCAAAACCATTTACTAATTCATTTTTAAATAATTTGTTCCATATATTTATCTCTTGGTTTAAAGCACAAAGATATTCAGCTAAATAGAGAAAAAAAATATGAAATGAACCACTTCTTTGTAACATGTAAATGTTATCTGAGTTCGCTGTTTATTTAAAAGGAAGTGCTGATGTTGGCATTTGTTCTCTGTGTGTGCTGCCAACTTTGTAGTTTAAGGGATTAGACAGAAAACAAATTAATAAAGTCTAGTTTTTCTGTACTGTTCCATGGTGAAAAAGCTGGGACTATCCCAAAACAAGTTGAAGTGGATTCTGGAAAAAATCAAAGTTTCTTAAAGCTTACAGTGCTTGGCTTATTTAATAGAACATTAGATAGCACACCAGGTTGACTGTATTAAAGAGTTTACCCACTCAATGACTATGCAAGGATCTTTGCCACACCTGCGTAGGTAGGCCATGGAACTACACTGATGGTCTCCAGAAATGCATACTATAGAACTCAACCTGGCCATGCTAGCCCTAGAGATGCTACCCAAACAGGAGACTGCAGGTAAGGAAGATAGCATTCAGGATGCCGAGTGGCTTAACTGCTGTTGAATGTCAGTGTAAGCAGAAATTGACACTTCTTACAGGTGCTGTGGAAGCCAGTTTGGCAAAGAATAGGTTTCATATTGATTCAGTCCATGTGGTGGGAGATTGCTAAAGTTATTGGAGCAACCTGTCCCCTTCTCTTTTTTTCAGGCTTGTCACTGAAGTTTATACTATAGATGACACCTTACAGACCTTAAAGAAACATTTGCAAGAAGCCCGGGATGCTCTGCAAATGCTACTTCACAACAAATCAAAGCTGGAACACGACATTTCTGTGAAGGCAAACTCCTTCTTCATTGACAAGAAGTGTATGGAGATGCGCAAAACTTTCCCCTGCACCCCACGGCTCATTGGCTACATTTGAGCAGTAACCTTTGATATCTCTCATGCATGATATAAAAGCTGCAAAGGTTGCAAATATTTCCTGAAGGAAATCATTATTTTGTTGGGGTTTTTTTTCTTTGTTTGAAATCCAATAGAAATAAACCAACCAAAATCAATACTGTACTTCTTTCCTTTGAGCAACTGCGTAATCTCAGCTATAGCTGCTCCATGGAATGGAATTAGTAGATCTATTCTAACAGAATCAGATCACACTAAAATGACTAGAGAAATATTGCATGATTTGTGAGTTACTAGCTAAAGAAAATTATAAACTGACATCCCACACTTTTCAACAGAATAAGTACAGTACAGGATTTAACTGTCTGGGATATTGTGATGCCTGTGTTTCAGTCCTTGTCTGGAAAAGTCACATTTGAATGCTTGCCCATCCTTCTACTCTCTTTCTGTCTAGCAGACGTAAATTTGGTGTTTGCTTATAATTAGAGGAGGTTGAGCAAACTTGATTCATAGAAGAAAATCTTGTATATTTATATGAACTGTTTATGACCAATGTTTGCCTGAGAGGTCTTAACTACACAGAAATGTGTACTATCAGTAGATATCAAAGGACTTCATGAGCACAGACAGTACCACTGTTCTTCATCACTTCATCAGGTGAAGACAATGAAGGCTGAAACGTGTACAATGCAGTAATCTCAGTGAAGGATTTGAGGAAGCACTAGTTTTAACCCATGTTAAGGCAGGCTGACTTTTGAACAAATGAAATAAAAATGTTTTTTTTGTTATTTGTGTTTCTGTGCCGGATTTACGTGCCCATATATACAGCATAATCAGCAATGCACAATTCTAGCAGCTGAGCTGCTTCCTGCTACCTTGGTCCCACAAGGGTCCCCTTCACATAACAGCTCTAGGAACACATAAAACACATTTTAACTGAACCAAGGCCAAATCTGAAACAATGCTTGGTTTGAAAGTTGCCTGAACAAATTGGCTCTGTTCCTCCTCTTTTGTTTTGTGGGGGTGGTGGCTTCACCCAGCTCCCAGCAGAAGTCACACTGCTGGGGAACACCGAGCCGTGCAACTCTGTACTTCCTGGCAAGTGAACTGCGGCTCTCACTGAGTGTGGCTGTGGCTGAGCCATTCCACACTCCATTTTACTCCTCAGTTAAAAAAAAAAAAAGCATTTCCTGTTGAGTGTCAAACCATTTACACATGGTATGTTTCTATAGATTCAAAATCACAGGAAAACATTTTGCAAGATGTGACTGGGGAGTAACATCTAGATGTATTTCTGGTACCCATTAAACTCATTTCACGTTGGCTCTCTGCATCTTCATTTTCTAAATTAAGATAATTCCTGCATCATGGCTATGAACAGCGCAGACTGCTCCATCCAGCATTACGTCTCCAGCTCTTTGGAGGAATCCCCAGGTGTGGGAAAAGTTCCAAAAACACACTTTGTGTTTATAGTTTGTGTTAGTGACAGCAGTGCAGAGCATTTCCAGGGCTAGTGGAGGTAAGGGGGACTCACTGAAGACTTTGTTGGCAATCTGGTTGGAATTAATGGTGGTATCTTATTGTCTCTTACTCTGAAACACATCACAACAACCTTCTGGTGCAGAGTGAGGAATCTTGCTATGTTTTGTTTCTCAGCAGGGAGGACTGTTTCCACTGGTAACGTTTTCCTCCCTCTGTGTGCTCTGGTATGGAGGTGAGGGAAATTTTATCACTTGCTTCTGTTACTACCAAACTGTAAAGCCCTTGATTTGCATTTTGTACGTCATTTTTACAGTGTATGAAGAATAATATTAGCGTTGAGTTGTTAAATATTGACAATAGTCCCACCCTATTTATCAAATACTGACAGCTGACCATGCAGAGGACTAAAAATTATTTGAAAATTTGAACATTCTTGAAGGTATCAAATACATTTCTAGAAGTTGGAGTCTTTCCCAGTTCACACAACTGCTCTAATAGCTAGAAATAGTTTCTCTCCTTCTTATGCCAAAAACTCAATTAAGAAGCATACAGTAGAAGGAAAGCATCTTTTAGGAGAGTCAAATTCTTTTAACAGTTTTATACAGAAAAAGAAACAAGGAAAAATCTTTTCCTGACAGCAGGCAGCATCACTGAGAAGTCCCGAATTTGTAAATTTGGGGTTTTGGGGACAGAGATGCTGGGGTTGAACAATGGCTCTGAACATCACTAATTCCAGCTCCTCCCTCTGCCTTTCTTCAGCCATGTTCTCTGCAAGATCTCAGCTCTGCTTTTTTGGGTGGAGTGCCCTCTTTATTGTCAGTACAAACAACGCTAAACTTGCCTGAATACAGCGTGAACTCCTACTAGGAGTGACTGCCTAAAATCAGGGATCTACGACAGATCCATTCTCTGAGAGCAACGCTCTGCATGAAAACAGTAACTCCCTGAGGTTCAGCCTCCAGCACTAAGAGCCAACTTTTACTGGGTTCTGCAAAATAAGAACAGAATAGAAAATAATTTTATTCCCTAACTATAGCTACCAGAAGACACAAAGTATATCAACCTGGTGGAAAAGCCTTAGCAAAGAAAATGCTCCTGTCTCTCATTAGTAGTACCCACATAAGCAGCACATTTATGTTTGCTGATAACGTCCAGATTCATTGTAAAAGTATACAGTTTTCTTTAAGCTATCTAACAAAAGGGTAAAACTTGCTTATGTTATAAACCTATATAAATTGGAAAAGGCTGAAATTTGTTTACTAAATTTTAGAGGATGGAGATAAGTCAGTATTTGGTTCTTGGAAGGCTGAGTTGATAGGTAAGGCAGAAAAGCTAGATTATAGATTTGTTTTGCCACTGAGTTAATGTGTAAATAAATTTACACAGCCTTGAAAACACAGTTAATATTATTTGTGATGGGAATATGTCAAAGGAAACACATTTCTAAGAAGCATAAAGATACCTAGATAAATCTGAGAATCTCTTCAGAAAATCCTAACAAAAACAGAATATAAACATCCTTTCAGGTATTTTTTCCTTTTCTTTCATGGATCTCTTCTTATGAACTGGATCCTTAATTAACCCACAAATCTAATAAGCAGATCCATAGAACTTGAAAGATAAGATCTGTTTCATAGCAGATAAAGTAATGCAGAGAAGACCAAAACCTGTCCCTGCCTGCTTCAGACAATGAGATAATTTTAGTTCCAGACAAGCTATTTCCTAATATTATCTAAACTATAGCTCATAAAAGTTTATGGACTCAACCTCCAAACAGAGCAAGAAAACAATGGATCTAAGTATCTTCAGTAATGATAATGCCATTTCAGTCCCACATACTTACTGACTGCAGTGAAGATAGCTCATTTTACCCAGATCTACCAGTAGTTTATTTCTCCTATTTTACTTTATTAGATCACACCAAGGAAGTAAAATGTGCCCCACAGAATTTACAGGTGGTGTCCATTCCCAGTCAATGCATGCGATGGTTCTTGTAAGACAAGTCATCCCAGCAGAACCACCGAGCCAGGTAAGATCTGGCATGCACGAAATTAGCACAGGATGTTAGGGTGTGTTAAGGAGACAAAGAACAAATATTAACTATGGAGATTTAAAAAAAAGTGCCAATTTTGGAAGTTACATAGAATTTCACTTTTTTATAATATTATTGTACTTCCATTTTATTAAGGAGGACAGAGTGGAGGCCCCTCACAACCTTTGATATTTTTTCCATTTCCTGACAGTGCATTTGGTCTGTCCAAATTTTACCAAGAGTCCAAGGATGTCCCATTACACATTTACTTACAGCACATGCCATTGATGTAATATGAATATCCAAATCAAATGAAGAATACATGCCAATAATTTGATAAGCATTTACAGTCATCAGGTAGGGTTCTGCTCTGACTTACACCACTGTAGTGTTGAATCTCAAGATGCAAATCTGGAGTCAAACCTTCAGTCTTTGAATGTTTGGACCATCCTGCAGCCGGTCCAGCAAACACTGAATTCACAGAACCACAGAATAATTGATGTTGGAAGGAACACCTGAAGATCTTCTAATCCAGCCATTCCTGCATAGAGCAGCCAGTGTGAAGCTGTTGGCAAGGCCGCATCCATGCAGGTTCTGAATACTCCTAAGGATGGAGACTCTACAGCCCCACAGGGCAGCCTGTTCCAGAGTTGATAACCTCCATGCACTGGAAAGAAGTTTTTTTTTTCTCATATTTTCTTACATTTCTTGTAATTCCTGTATTTTCACGTGATCTACCAAATCTGGCAATATGGCACATACCTATACTATGTTCAGTAGAGAGGAGGTTTGGCATTTCTGTCTCCTTCAATCCTGATTAAAAGTAATCTGTTAGATGATTGACACTGTAATCCACAAGCAGCTATGATACACGACTGTCACTACACCGTCTGGTTTTGGATCATTTCTCTCCATCATTGTGAGAGAAAGTACAAAGGTCAACAGCTTCTCTAAAAGAGGTTAATTAGAACATGAGGGCAGTAATAAAGTAAAGGCAAACATAACAGATGGCTCTGGATCTGGCTTTCCACAACAAAACAGTAGTCAAAGTAGTAATGTACAAATTACCGTGAAATTTTCAGTTTATTTCTGCATTACTTGGCTCAGATTCCCTTTTTTTTTTTTTTTTTTTTTTAACTGAAGGAAATATGTGCCAAGGAGAGTAGGGGCTTCTTTTTTAAACCAAGAGATTCAATTCTTACAGTAAAAGCACAACGAACTCCAACCAAGAGATAAATAACCAAATGACAAAAAAATAAATAATGCTTTACTATGCAGTAAAGAACTTAAATCTACAGACAGTGCAAAACAGCAAATCTTTCTTCCACTGTGCACTGCTTTGAAGTGTTAAGGACTGGTAGAAATTTCTTGTCACTGAGTTACGATCCTGCAGCATGTAAGAACATGCTTGCTGTTCTAACTTAAGTCATAAAATAACCGCTGCCTCCTTATTATGTGCATTACCAGTTCAGATCTGTTCTCTGGCCCCAGGCCTGCTGAAATCCATGCTGTGAAACAAACCTTCTACTAAAACCTGCTCAGGAGAATAAGACACAAGCCAGACTTGTCTGAATACTGTTTGTCATAGGAAAGACCCTCCTAACTCTTTGGACGTTATAACTCTTGTTGTTTTTCAACTGAAAT